AATCGCAAAAAGGTGCAAAGTTTAAAATTGCAAATTAAACAGTTCCAGGAAAATGAAAGGAAGATGATAATGTAAGTAATCAAGTAAAAAGTGAATTAAGATATGTAATAAACTAAATGCATCCTGCAATATACACGTGTAAACATATGTTTCCGACAAATAAGAATTATATTTCTGCCTTTTTAGATGTCAAAAAGAATTAGAAGAAAAAGTAACTGATCTTAATACCAAGTTGCAGACTAAAGAAGATGTTAAGAAATATCACAGTCAGGTTCAAAATATTAGTGACAATATTAAAAAACATCCTAAGTTTGCAGACCACATTGCTTCTAGTTCAATTGGAATAAATGATCAGGAAGTTATTGATGTAAGTTAATAGATCCATAAGTAAGTCAGCACTTTTAAACTAAGAATTTGAACAAAGAGTTTTCTACGGAATATGTAAATATTTATACACATATGAAATTAATTTCATAATAAGATGAAATGAATTATATACGCACATGACAAGTTACAGAGCAATCATGTTGAAATAATTTCAAGTACATGAAAAATTATCATTAAAATTTTTATTGCTATGCAGATTGTATTAGTGACAGATATTGTGGAAAGTCTGCTCTTTGAAAAAGATCTAGAAATAAAAAATTTACAGAAACGTTTAAGCGAAGCGGAATCTAATTTGGCAATAACAGGTCGCGATAGTGATATACGTCTAAATAATTTTAAAACCCATTTGAGTGAGAAATGTAAGGCAATTCAAGAAATGAAAGAGCAGATGGTTATTCGTCAAAAAGTTTGTGTTGCTAGTTGTATTTATATTGTACTTGTGCACAGTAATCTAGTAATAATTTTACTTCTATCAATCGTTAGGAGTCAATAGAAAAGCAAAGTGTTTTAAAAGCTGAAATAAAGGAAAGAGATGAGATAATAATGTCTCTGCAAAAGCAAATGGCTGTATTACAAACGCAATGCCATTATGTAAAGATGCAAAGTCACTTTAGAGAAGATATCATTAAAGAAATGAGAAAAGAACTAAAACAAGCAGTATCTAAGGTACAGATTGCAATTCGTAGATATCGTATATAAATAACGATACTTCTTATTTTCAGTGTCCGTATTCAAACTTGTTTTCTCGTATTTTTGATCATTATAACCAAGTTACAACTGACAATCAGGAAATGGAACTCTTTTATAAATTACGTGAGAAAAACATTATACCGAAAGTAATGTACTCACCCACAGGACATAAAACTGATGTTACGTTTTGGCAAACTTACGTTGAAAATATTATGAATTCCAATAAATTAGCAAAAAATATCTGTACAACGAAAACTAAAGACAATAATTTGACAACTAAAGTAACAAATTATCGTCATAATGCACATTACAATAAAATACATGCACACAAAAATTTCCGCGATATCGATAAAAAAATCTTGAAATACAGCAAAAGATCTATACCTCTTAATGAGAATGAACAATTTTTTTATAATAAAGGCATTTTTGTTTTAGAGAATTGTAAAGATTAATACATTTTTGTCAATGAGTACCGTAATCTAAACGTTTATAAGAATATTATATTAATATTCAACATGTGATTTATAAATTGTTTTGTACACAAATTTGAAATCCTTAATACTATATTTCAACATGGTTGCTTATTTTAAGCGAATATGAGTAATACATGATCTCCTTTATTTTATCCATACTGATAATATATAACTCAAATGATTTAGATAATATACTTTTTCTCATAGTATCAACTCCAATTTCAGGAAACCTATACTACACAAAATTTTTGTGTTGATGTAAGAACATTTCAAGAGGTAAGTTGAAAACGTAATAGTAAAGTACATATAACAAAAAATTGATACGTTAATTAATTTCTTGTTTTAAAACATTAAATTATCCTATTACTTAAACATTCTGTTCTATTTTTTTTTAAATATGAACCAAACATATTTTTTAGGATATGAAAAAGCCAAGAGATCCTACGTACCAACAAGTAATTCTTATTCTGTACGTTTCATTCATCAAACAGTACACCCTATATTAATATTTTTTAATATTTTCATTTTCAGAATCAAATTGTATCCTGCTTGACTAAAGTAAAATCGTTCATGGAACAGGAGAAGGATGATATTTCGAAGTTAAAAAGAGAATTGGAAACAACTATAGAAAACTTGTGCTGTG